AAAAAATCCCCAGAAAGGATCAAGTGTGTTTTTTTTTTTCTTTTTAAAGTGCCAGTTAAATGAATGAAATGAACAAATGAATATGGTTTAATAAGGTAAACCATTTGGAAATACCAGTATTTTGGACTAAATGAGGGCTGTTAGGGCTGCGTTCCCTCAGGAAAGAAATGACTTACTCTCTGCCAGTAGTGACACATTTTGCCAAAGTTGCCAAAAATTAATATACTATATATAAAATACTTCCCAAGTCTGTGTTTTGGGGGGCTTCTCTAAAGGCTCGCTGGCTATGAAATTCACTTTGTGGCCATTGGCCTCCGGCTGTACAAGCCAGTGCGGTTTTTAGATGTACATCACCCAGGGCAATTGCTTTAATACACTCATCGTGTGCGTGTGTGCGTGTGTGTGTGTCCGGTTCCCTCAGACTGTGATTTGCTGCGGAACATGCTGGATTGAGGCCTCTGGAGCTGTGATTAAACATAGTTAATCAAAGTCAAAGTACATCCCTTAAGCAGCGTGCACTGCTATCCCAGGCTTTGTGTATTGTTTGTCCAAACAGGCAGTTGGTGGCTGATTTCACATTAACTTTCCACTGTCAACATTCATCCTTGCAAACTGACTTTGCACGGTGGATTTCCCAGCATCCTCGTTGTTACACAACGCTGTGTCCCTCTCTCTTTTTCGGTACACTTCGCACACACAGATAAAAAAAAATGTAAAAACTCCCTCCAACGACCCTTGTTCTGACCACAAAATGAACTTTGCAGAATCCAAATCCAAATGTCAACAAAAGATTATCCCCGTAACACAGTTTTACCCTCTCAAACCGATTGACACATCTCGTGACGCGGGCACTGGTGGACACGTGACGCCAAAGCACGGTTTTGAAGTAGTCTTCGTAGCTTTTTGGCTCCACTGGGTGATCTTGCCTCGCCACGTCTCACCAGCAGGACATTTAAATGCTCAAAATGACTAAAAATAATCTTTGATGTTTCTGGAAGCTCAAATGGAGTGAAGCTAATCACTAACATTATCAGAAAAAGTTGTTTTGCTGACTATTCTTACTTGTGTGACACACATTTGCATGCAGTGTAAATAACTACAGTACACCACTGAAGAGGAGCATGAAAGCTTTTTCATTAGAGTGCCCGAAGGTGGTGAGAGGGTTTGTTTGTTGCTTGTTATGTGTCTAGAAGTGTGCACACAATGGTGCTCTTTTGAAGCTCTAACAATACTCAGCAGTTCTTAGATTTCCCGGTGGATCAGGATCAGGAATCATCAACATTTATTACCAAAATATGTCAGAAGGAATTTGACTTGGCGGTTGGAGCATAACATCAGACAGTAAGACAATGGACCACAAGACAGATAAGACAACATAGTGCAAGAATAACATACGTGCAAGAGGAATTCAAATTAAAAACAAGTTAAAAATAAAAGGTTAAAAATAAAAAGTTAAAACAAAAAGTAAAAAATAAAGTGCACCAGCGAGCCGAAAGTGACAAGTGAAAGTGACAAGTGTATGTGCATGTGCAGTGTGAAGGGAGTGACCGGTGGGATGTCAGAGTCAGTCAGGGGGACCCGGGCTCTGTTGACAAGTCTCTGCAGAGCGGAGGACACGCTGCAGCCTGCCCTTGTCCTTGGCTGTGGCTGCAGCGTACCAGACGATGATGGAGGAGCAGAGGATGGACTCCATGATGGCCGTGTAGAAGTGGATCATCATCGTCTTTGGCAGGTTGCATTTCTTCAGCTGCCTCAGGAAGAACAACCTCTGCTGAGCCTTCTTGGTGATGGAGCTGATGTTCAGCTCCCACTTGAGGTCCTGGGTGATGATGTGGTGTAACAGTGATCCAGCGTGTTCTCCTCACTGGTTGGGCATTTAATAAACAGTTTGTACTAAGGAAGCTCATGTCTGAGTTTTTCCATTTGTTAAAGTCCCCGAGGACTATGGCCAGATACGGCGTCCACACGCTGTATCTGGTCGGCATGTAAACACCGACCAGGATGAATGAAGCAAACTCACGGGGGAGTAAGATACGTCAGCATTGGCATTTCCACGCTTTGTTATCCTGTATTTTGGTTTGATAGTGTTACAAGATCAAAGCAGATCTTACGCCCCTCCTCAAAAAGCCTCTTACTGTTGAAATGTGGTAGTTTGGTCCGGCATTAGTGAACGGGTGCAAAGAGGTGAAACGGCACTCATTTGTTTGCATGATGAAATTGACATGTGTGTATGTGTACACAGATAACTGTACAGCCAGGGTCAGAACATGCGTTGAGTTTGATGTAACATGACCTCTTAAGCTGGTGATGTCCATCAACAATTATCTGCTGTCATGGATTAAACCCTGCTTTCACAAATCCTGAAAACATTGCTGCTTTGCAGCAGCAGTTGCCAGACTATGAACTCGCTCCTGTGTTCAGCTCATGGAAATCTATGGCGAAGGTCGTAACCTTTGTTGAAAGAAATCAACAAAACAAATCAAATTCCACCATATTTTGTCACAAGTAGAAACGAAAAATAATTTCAGTTATTTAAACTGATAGCCTGGATATGTGTTGATTACGTTTTTTGTCGTCTTTTTAATATTGACCTCGCCATCAATAATGAATGACCATTAGGATCAGACCTGTCATGTCCCAGCTCTGCGCGTCTCCGGAAATTCTGCGGTGATGCTAATGCAGACGTCCAAATCAATGAAAGATACACTATTGCAGCTGGCAGATGGCTTTCAGTAAGTCCTATTCGGCTCTGTGGTCATTGTTTTGAAATGTGTATTAAACCGCACACACACACCTGCTGTAAGCACACATGCATGCACCCACGCACACACACACTGTTGCGTGCAAAGGCCTGTTTAGCAGCGTTAGCAGAGCTTTAAGTCTGAGCTAATCTGGGAGGCAGCTTGGATAGTGTTGTCAGTGGATTTGCATTGATACTAAAGCTCCCTGTAGCTTTAATGGCAGCCACTGAGAGTGTTAATAGGACCTTAGGACCTCTCTAGATCCCCAGCTCCACCTGTCACAACAAATAAAACATCACCCCTGGTGGATGCCTCGATTCATCGACATGATGTTTTTTAAATGTATATCTCTCGCCACGCAACTTTAGACTCCTTTAGTCTCTTTAATTAAATTAAGAAAAACATTTTTTTTAAATCAGCCAATTTACCTAATGTGTCCTAGATAACATTGCAAGGCTGGATATGATCAGAATGGAAATTAATGTCAAATAAAGTTGACCTTTGACTTGGAATTTTGAGGAAATTACCATTCGATACCGTATCATAATTATTAGTTACTATATTGTTTCCATTAGTTTTTGTTTGCTGTTTCAAGGAGCTACTGTCTCATAGCCATTTTTTGTTGTATTTTCAATTCTCATGCAATTTAATATTTATTAATTTCTCTGGGCTACCAGGCAAAGAAATGTATGAACAGTAAACCTACGTCAAGCAGCCCTTGTCAAGTGTGTGTCATCATATGTGTCATAATACCACCACAGGGATTCTCCTCGGATCTGTCATCTTTATTTAAAGCCCAAAAAATTATCTCAGTAAAACGCTTGCATGATTTACTCCACATAAATTCACAATAAGCAATGTGTGCTCCAGTTGACGGATAGTTGTATTACTTTGTACACTAGAGTGCAGCGCAGTAGACTGCACTATCCCTCGTTTTGTGTCAGTGAAAAGACATGACATAGGATAGGCATACTTTATTAGGTTAACGTTTTAAAAGCAAAAATATAAACAATAATTAATATTTAAAAATCAAAGGATAGAAATAGTTCCTTTTATAACTTACGATTCACCAACAGATGTGATGGTTACTCATTTGTAACAGATCAAGTAGCTCTGCATTTATCCAAAGAACGCTCCATCACTCGAATATATATTTTGAGACACAATAATTTGATATTAGTGGGGAAAAAACTAAGCTCAAGACTGAATGCATCACACATAGTTTTTAATGGCTTTTGCATATCGCACAACATATTTCATCGTATAACAACCAGGTTGTTAAAGCTTTTTATTGATTCAGAAAATAAAGGACATACAAATTCAGTTTAATACAATGGTTTGAACCCGGTTGAATATATAGGCATACTAGGCCTACAATACCCCTGCCTTGTAGGCCAAAGTTTCATTGATTGATTAATAATTAAACCCCGATTTAAAAATCGATTGAAATCGAATTGCTGTCATTAAAAGATTGTAAAAGCTCTTTCGGTGGTAACAAAACCGTCCAAGGTAGCTTACAAATAAAATTAAGAGACGTATGTTACAATCATTTATAATTAAGTAAATATTTAGCCCAGCAAAAGCGGTTTGGTCTTTTATCCCTAATATATATACATACACATGGGTGCACCCCTCTACAATGGGCCCGTTAGATCCGTGACACAGTGTGCTTTTGTTTTGAAGGAATATTTCCGGTGTAAACCTGACATCTAACGTTACCGAAGTCGACGCAGCTCTGCCAATTCACCGCCGGATCCTCTGAATTAATTATTCGTTAAAAGAAGATCAGTCCTGTCCAACGTAGAATTATATTCAAGCATAGCAGGGTTTTTGTGGTAAACTGTCGGTTCTTTAGGAGCCGTCACTCCCCGCTTAGCCCCGGTTAGCCCCGGCGTGAGTCTGGAGACCGGCGCCTCGGCTGCTGCCCTTTGCGTGTGACCCCTCCCCTTCGCTGCTGCTGCCTTCAAGTAATCCTCGTAAATATACCAACTTTACACACATTGAACCCTAATAAACCGAAAACAAATTAAAACAATTTAATACGGAAAGCAACGTTATACAACATCATATTTCTGGAGGTGTTGGTTGTATGCATACAAGTAATTGCCCAAAATATGAGGCCACGCAAAGAATGAAACATCGCAGCTCACATATGCAGACAGTACCTGAAAGCGGCAGAGGTACAGCATCTAGTGTGTGTGTGTGTATGTGTGTGTGTGCGTGCGCGCGCGCGTACGTGTGTGCGTGTGCTCTTACGCTCTGTTTGTGAGGAACAGAGTTGCGTGCGAAGAGCTCGACATGTCATTCAGAGGAATCCGCCACCTGAAACGCGAGGAAGTGAAGGCGACTCATTTGGGTATAAAGCATCAGCCAACATCTGCCCCGAGCAGTGCAAAGCTGATGAAAACATCAACTCGGAGCTCATATAGGACCTCTGCGATTTATTTGAATTCTCTTGGATTTATTATTTGGCATTACCGAGTCGGTGCGCCCAGGGAGACGCAACTCTTTTTTTTCTACTTCAAGTGAATGAGACTCCTCAGCCATCACTATACTGGAATTAACCGACACCCCGAGGGATTTGGGGTCAGTGCTTTTGTGTTGTTGTTGTTGTTGTTGTTTTTTACATTATTTTGTTTTCCTTTACACCATTATTATTTAGATTTTTTAGTTGTAGGTATCCGGCTTTTCTAAATATTGATTAAACGTTTTGCTTCAGTGGGCTGTACTATAGCACTGTATGGCAAATAAGTGAGTTATTAACCTGTCCGATGCCGCAAATATTGCGGTGCTCGTCACCGCAGACTAGTTTGTTTCTATTTGTCTTAACTTGATTGAATGTAATATGCTGTATTTGTATGCAAGTTAACGTCCTCTCCACGTCCTCCGCAGCGCACCTGTTACCTCCACGGAGCGCGACATCATGATACCTCCGGGAGACTGCATGTACGCGGGCAGGAAGAGGAGGAAGCCCGTCCAGAAACAGTTAAGGAGCGCTGAACTCTGAATATGTGGCATAAATTGATAAGTTGATAAATCGATACGCGCTGGGCGATTTTCCCTGTAAAGTATCCGGCACTCTCATCCCCGCGGTTTGTGAGCCACAGCACCGTAAAGGTGGGAATGTAGCACCAGCTGGTATTGTTATAAAGTTGTAGCAGGGAATAACTTGCTGTAAACATGACAGACTAGCGATTCTAATCCACGCAATATTAATAATATAGCACTTTATTATACCGTTATTATTTAACTATAAGTCCCTTACTACTCACATAGCTTATTGCAAGTTTATGTGTGTATTCGCTTCCCTGGTAATCCTTTATTATGTCCAGTGATATTTAGCATATTCTTTGTATCTCTAACTGCATGTGGGAGGGAGACAATCATGGGTTTGGTTGACTGTGTGTCCATGGTTTTTATAACGTTTTTTTTAATGTTGTTAATCTTGTCAGCTGATCTCATAAATAGTGAGTAGGTTATATAAGTTTTAGATGAGGGAAGTGGTAATTTAATATCAAGGCCTGTGGCATTTATAAAGTTTTCATGTTTTGCACTGCGGTTGCTGCTGATCTGAAAGGAAGTCTTTGCCACTCCAAATCAAGTGTTTTTGAACTAGATGGAAACAAACTTGAAATTGTAGTGTGCTTTTCATGCCACAAAATATTATACTGCTTTATTTAATATTGAAATATGGTAGTACTTGCAGTTCTTTGTGAATACTGTAAAAGTGAGTAGTAAAGTAAACACTGTTGAATTATCCGATCCAATTGGTAAACTCAGATGTTTTTCTTTTGTATGTTTTCCAGTAGTATCTTGTGGATGGAATATTTACTCATCCACCACAATAAAACACAGCCCAGGCCATCGTGTAAAATTCTGTCTGTCTGACCAGAAACGCTCAGCTGTAGAAACATGATTTTAAGTTAGGCGGTTAACGCCGTGGCATGCCGTTCTAAAACACACAAATACCTCCGTGCCTAAGGAGCCTTTTCAAATGCCATGCAGCACTTAGAGCGATATGTCCAATACCTTTAGATTCAGGAGTTGATTTAAAGAGTTAAACAGCCACAGTGGATTTTGGTAAATATAGATGTATTTATACAAAGTAACCCTGAAGGATTTATGTTGTGGAAAGACATTCTGCAGGGAGTACTATTTATTTGTTTGGTCCTGTTGTAAAGAAACACATTTTAGTGGCAAATTAAACAGCTATAGTCATTTGAGGACACACACATCATTGTGGTTCATTGTCTATTGGGGAAGGGTCGTTTTGAAGGAAATAAAAGGCCATTCGTGGAGTGTGGTTAATTACGTCATATCGGTCTGTGCAGAGTCGGACAAAACATGATTGCTATCATTATAAAGGGGAAGAAATATTAACACTAATTGCCAGGTCTCTTTCTAAAAGATAGAATTTATTAAAACTGTATTCATACTAATGCTTCCCTTTAGTGGCCTGTTTTTCCTATTGATCTGAAAATCAAACATTAACAATGTTACGACCCAGGCATTGCTCCTTGTTTTTGTTGGTGTTAAGATACGTTATGTACAGGGTTTAGAATTTAGCAAATGTATTCCTCTAATAATTATTACATATTTTAGCTTTTCAAATTTGTCCCAACATGACTTAGTTAAAACTACTCTTACATTACAGCTAAATCCACGACTTGTGGTGGTCTCTAGACCTTCCCCCCACACACATCCCGATGCCCATTTAACCCCATCTACCCCTCTCTGCTCTGTCCGTCTCCCCATCAGGAAGCCGTCGGCTGCCAACGAGAAAACCAACCCGTCCAAGCGGCACAGAGACAGGCTGAATGCTGAGCTGGACCGGCTGGCCAGCCTGCTGCCGTTCCCCCCGGATGTCATCTCCAAGCTGGACAAGCTGTCCGTGCTGCGCCTCGCAGTCTCCTACCTCCGCGTCAAAAGTTTCTTCCAAGGTAAAGGAGGTTAAAAGTCAACATTTTAGCTTCAAGTGGAGGGGCTGGGGTGCGTGTTTGTCTCAGAGTCCAGGGGGAGGTGAGAGTTGATATGTAGGGGTTGGTGATGGGATTTTTGCTGCATGTCAATTGTCAATGTTGTCCACCTCTGATACATTTTTATTATAAGGCTGACCCAGTAACAAATCTGTAGTGATTATATAATAGGATGATACATCAATATCTACACTATTCAAAGCAGAAATAATACAATCATATTCCCTGTAAAAAAAAAAACCTAAATACAATTTTTGGGAAATTGTCCCTTTAGAGACATTCTACATAAATCTAAAAAAAGAAACTCCAAACCATGTTAGTCGTACGCTTGTGCTGAATTGGCAAGAATCCCCTTGGCTTCAGCATCAAAGGATGCGTTGTCTTTTAGGAAAGATGCCACGTCATGCGTTAACAGACAGAGCCTGGCCTCTTGTGTTGCCTCATTCTCTCATGTTGAATTAGTGAGGATGATTTCTGATGATTTGAGGACGGTACCATCATCCTTTATTTTTTTCGGTTCACAATCTCGCTCTAAAGTCCTTATCACCCTTTGTACGTTGTGGCCACGTGTAATTAGAAGGTATTTCGAAGCACCCTCTTGCCCCCCCCCCCCACCTCTCCTGCCCCCCCATCATCTGAATGGCTCCCATCCTGTCCTTGTTGTTGGGGGAAATTACCTCCTCTTCAAATATTCATGGGCCGTTTCAGAACATATTTCGTTGCCGGTGGCCTCGGCAGCTGTCATATCAACTCAGGGGCTACTGGCACAGCTGGATGCGACAGCATGGTGTTTTTAAATTTAAGTAGCAAAGAATAAGCGTCATCGCTCTCTATTGAAAGGGGAAAGTGCTCTAGATAAAGTAGACGGAGGATGAAAGGTAGTTAAAGAGGCTCCCTGTGCTCCTCGTCCTGGGCTGGAGAGAAAGTCCTCATGGAAAGCTGTTTTCTTGGGGATGTCGGCGAGGGATTTGTACGGTTCTGACCAGCTGAAACTTTCTCACCCATCACCTCTTCGAAACATGTTGCTCTCCTCTTTCACCTCCTGCTCCCCTGATCCTTCCAGCGCCCTTAATCTCCATCATCTGCTCCCTTGGTTTGGCAAGGCACCAAACAACTGGCATCCTGTTGGCCAGTCATGTAACTGTATACACACACACACACACACACACACACACACACACACACACACACTCACATACACACAGTTACTTGTGTTACCCTGGACGCTTGTGTAGCTTAGCCATCACGCCAAGTTGCATGATAGGTGCTAATTGGAACTATGAAGAGTGCCTTTCCCGGATAAGAGATCACGCAGAGACAAGGACCACAACCGCTGCCTCGATGCAGAAGTGGTGAGCGAGAGAGGATGGAGAAGGCTGAGTCACGTGTGTGAAAAGTGTTGAAAGGTGTGTGTCGTAATTGAGTGGGGAAGCTGCTTGCATATTTTCTGACAATAGCTTTCGGGGCACATCTTCCATAGCAGTGGCGGCATTTGGCGATAAAGGTGGCATTTATCATCTGAACTCTTTAACAGGCATTGAAGCCTCAACTTGTTTGCCCCAACACCTTGTTGTCCCTGCCTTGTTGTCAGTGGCAGTAGTGACCAGCTTTGGTGGCTTTTACTGCTACACTAATGAGATTAATCAGAGTGGAACACAATGGATTGGGTTTTGTGTATAGCTCTGCCGTCCCTACATCACTGGAGTCGTAGCTGTTTCCGCTAATATTTCAGCATATAAGCGTGGCAGAGTCTTCAAGTACGTATCCACATCCTTCCTGTGGTTTGGAACAACGATAATAGCCTCTTTCGCACACTCAGGGATCTTTCGTAAACATGCTGTGAAACAACCACAAGCTTTGTTTGCATCTATGAACTGTTACATAGAGGAGAAATGAAGATTTTCCGGCCCCCACTGATGCATTTCTACTTTCTGTCCACCAGGGGGACTGTGGGAAGTTGCTTCCTAGTCACGATTAATGTCCGCTCCATTTAGTTGTGATTTAGGGGCAACAGGTTGGACTGTTTCATTTGTTTTCTTATTCTAAAAAACAGGTTCACTGACTTGATTCACGTCACTGTAAGGCGCTATACAGTTTAGATACGGAGAAGAGGAGAATCGTGTGGCAGGTGGTTTCAGGATATTCTATCTTTGTTGTGTGACTGCTCAAGGGTGGAGCAAAGGAAACGGTATGTACCTATGCTATTAATGCAAATACACCTCCATGTGTGTGTGTGTGTGTGTGTGTGTTCGTGTGTGCATGTGTTAAAATACACGTTTCACAATGACGTATGAAATATATTTGGATATAAAAAGATATGCATATGGTTTCACAATCAACTGTCATACAGCTTAACTTTCTTTCCCTTGAACTATTAAATTGGATCTTTTGATGGACAGCCTAGACAAACATTTGTGTATCGTTGGTGAATAGTGATGCAGCTGCCGCTGATGTCCCCAGAAAAAGTGGGCCACAAGTCCAGGGCCCCCTTAAAACAAATAGATCATTCTAAAAGATCCAAAACATCAGCTAACAGCCTACGGGCTTAGTGCCATGTATTTCTGTTTTAGGTCAGGGTTTCTTTATTCTCTGCATTTCTAGGCAGATGTCCTAGCGAGTGCGATCATGTGAATGAGTGTGTGTGTGTTGACAGTCAAGCTGCAGTTCCCTTCTCTTCCATGTTAGGTCTGTAATTGCTGAGCTTGTTAAATATTTACCCTAAGGATTAACTATCCCTCCTCCTTTGTCTTTCTGCCTGATCGCCTTTAATTCTCCTCCAGTGTGTTTTGTGCGATCCTGTTTCACTGCTTTTTTGCTCATTATTGGAAACTAAAACGTTGCTTTGTTTTTAGAAAATTCTATCCGATTGCATCCGTAGGTTCAGAATGGATTACGTGACTAAAAGGGGGAATTTTTTTATTTTAATTTTATTTGCATTATTTCAGAGGTGCGGTTTTTGTAGTTCAATGGCATAAAAGCAATTATTAAATCTTCCAAAACAACTGATGAGTTGAGAGTGTATCAAGGAATGGGACATTTTCTTTCCTTTCATCTCTTCTCATATTAGTTCCGGGACTAATATGAATTTAAAAGTCACTAAGTAACAAAGAGCAGAAGTCAACGGGGCTTGTGATGAGAATCAGATGGGAGTTATAAATCAAAGGACCTGGAGACCACATAATAAAGGACATGCCCTCTTCCCTAATGTTCAGCCTAGTGTATTGCACCGCTCTTGGCTCCAAGTCAGCTAATATAATCCATGCCAATGCATTAATATTAGCTGCTGGCAGGGTACGTATCTCATGAGATCCAATGTGATGTTGGCGCTCCTTTGTAATGTGGTCACATCCTCGGTTGGAACGCAGATTCCCTCCCTCTCACACTCGGTGTGCCTCTGAAAAGCCAGAATACTTTCAGCCAAGAAATCTGTGAGAAAAATGAATTGTGAAGCATGAAAGCTTGTGACCATTTTTTCAACAAAAAGATCTTACAGTTTGTATTTCTTTAATATTGTGTCCTGCATAGTCCCACACACACCGACCTCAATAAGACACCAACCCCCGGGAAACTGTCTGCGACTTCAGTTCTTTGCTTTCAGTAAATGAAGTCATTACTGTCTTGAAGTACATCTCAACAACCCCAGATGTTACAATCACAACAATCTCATTCCCAAATATAAATGGCTGTGGTGTAAATGCATCCACATCGCAGCAAGGTGCATTAATGAGTGTGTGTGTGTGGCTGGAAGCCCACACAGTTAAAGCACCATCGTGCATCTTAGCTGTCAGTCCAGTCAGGGCGTTGACAGGGAACACAAACACACACACACACACACATAGCCGAACAAAATTTGATGAGAGGCTCTAGGATGCCCATCGATGCCATGTTTGGTAACTTAGTTAACATGCCGATTGTCTCCCTGCTACACTGTGTCTGTGTTGCTTAAGTCTCCAAACGTTTGCCAGTCAGTTCCGTGTGCACGTCCGTCTCTAAGTGCTGGCGGAGCTTTAATAAAAGAGGAAGAGAAAGGCCCGTGAGGCTGCAGACTCACGGCAGGCGTACGCCGCTTGTGACGTCAGGAGGCAGACAGGAGACGGTTTTGTAACCAAGCTGCCATTCGCGCAATAGAGGAAGGGAAGCCAAAGCCATCAGTCTGCATCCATCTAGCACTTTTAAGAGAATATCATGGTTGTATAGGCTCTCATTTTTGTGTGAATGGGTTTCATTTCAAATCTGTGTCATTTTTCCAGTCAATACGTGTGCACATCATTTGCTTTCCCAAAGGGGGAAGTGCTGCAGCGTGATCGCTGTTTCTGAATGGAATCTTTGCTCTGGTTGTAAAATGTGTATCAGGTCACGTTATGGACGCACTTTGTGTTTACTAAACTCTCAGTGACCCCACACTTTTTCCTTCCGCAACCCGAAGGCAGACAAGTCGGGAAGAGGCCAAGACAAATCGGCGAGCTGCTGTGTGGACTAGAAATGAAGAGAAGAGGTTCAGCATTAGAAAGGTCGAGATGTGGTCAACTCGCTGTTGTTTTGAGATTTTCAGACAAAATGTCCTCGCCATGAAATTTCCGGTGAATCGTAGTCTCTGACCCGCAGTTGCTTGCGTTGCTAAATGTTGCCAGGAGGTAGATTTGGCAGATTCATAGCACAAGACGATTAGTTTACCGTTGCACAAAGAGGTATTCACACTTGAATATTCTTACGGATTGACAAATATGCACGTTAAATAGTGAGCTTTGGCGATGCTTGTAGTCTGATTTTGTTACTTTTGGACACAGTCAAGCTAGCTGCTTACTCCTTCTCCCAGTCTTGTCACACCATTTAATAGGCTGAATGGCTGCAGTGTAACAGATATGACAGTTAGTCAACTGAGATGTCCTCACTATATTTATGCACTAACTTTTTTTCTCGTTAGTCTAACTAGTTAAAGCACTAGTATCATGGCTCCTTGGTTG